AGCAGGAATTCCATCCCAGTCTATCTTCTGATGGCTTGGTGTCCTTCCCTGCCCCACCTAGATTTTTTTTTTTTTCTGTTTTAAAATTATTATTATCATTATTATCCATCCTTTTCATTATTATTCTTTCTTCTTCCCTTTCCAGGTTCTAGTTTTTTGGCTTTTTCTCTATTCCCATTTCCTGGTTCACATTTAGTTTTTATTTCTCAGGGTTTTCCCCATTCCTTGTTTTTCTTTTGGATTCTTCCCACTTGTTTCTTCATTATTTTCCTACTCTACCTCTTTTGTCTTATTCCCCCTCCCTAGATATTGTGGGGTTTTTCTTTTGTTTGTTTTGTTTTGTTTTTTCATATTTCTTTTGACTTTTTAAAGTATTTCTTTAAATATTTTATCTCATTTATTGCCTTTCCTCTTTTCTTTTTTTTTCCTTTTTCTCTTTTTGGTGATTGTTCCTGTCTGATTATGTGGTATGTGTCTTTTATCCTCTTGCTTTTACTTTTCTGATGGTTTTTTTGACTGTTGTTTTTGTTTAACTGAGTGGGAGACAATAACTGTGCCCATATGACCCAACTACACCTGCACATCCTGCAGTTCCACTTACTGAGAGCCACCACTTCTTTCTGCACCAACTGGCCAATGATCTGCAACCAATAAGAGCCTGATTCACCCTTAACTGCTCTTCACAAACAGTTAACAGAGATCTGTTCAGCCACTCTCATTCTCTATCACACCCACTAGAAGATAGGTTGTGAGTGCATAAGTGCTGCCAACTAGTGAATAGAGGAACATGGTACCCTGTTAACTCAGATACATCTAAAAAAAAAAAAGAAAAAAAAAATCATGGGTGAATCACTCCAATATATAATCACCAATAAATATAAATACAACAAAGTCACAATGTCTCAGACACAACAAACCATCACAATCCACACAAAGAAGCAAGATAAAGCAGTAGAAATGGGGGAGCAGGATATAGAACCAGAATACATCCCTAAGGAAGAAGCAGCACTGGAACTCCCTGATAAGGAATTCAGAAGAATTATATTAAGGTACTTTCAACAGATTGAGAGACAGATCAAGGAAAACACTTTAAAAATTAAGGAAAACACAGACAAAACCCTAGAACAATTTCAGAAGAAAATACAAGAACAAAATGACAAAATAAATGAAAAATTATAAATGACACAAAATCCACAGATAGAAGCCCAAAAGATTCATACTAAATTTTCAGAAATAGATAATACATTGAAAGGATAAAGGAGTAGAAATGAATCAATGAAAGATAGAATTAATGAGATTGAAGACAAATACCTGAATACTTCTTTGGAAAGGGATCAATCAGAAAAAAGATCAAAACAAAATGAGGAAAGCATAAGGTTCATGTGGGATGCCATCAAAAGGAAAAACCTACATGTAATTGGAATTCCAGAACAGGAGAGACAAATAAAACCACAGAGAAAATTGTCAAAGATTTACTATAAGAGAATTTCCCTGGTATGATGAAAGATGAGAATATATCCATTCAAGAAGTTCAACAAACCCCAAACAGGATAGATTCCAAAAGAAAATCACCAAATAATCAAATCACATCATAATAAAACTCACCAAAACCAAAGACAAAGAAAGAATCCTGAAAGCAGCCCAGGAAAAACTAAAAGTTACATACAAGGGGCAACCAATAAGACTAAGTTCTGATTTCTCAGCAGAAACCATGCAGGTAAGAAGGTAATGGGATGGTATATATAAAACCCTGAAAGAGAAAAATTTCCAACCAAGAACTATATACCCAGAAAAATTGTCCTTCAAATATGATGGTGAAGTTAGGAGATTTCCAGATAAGCAGAAATTAAGGGAATTTGTTAAAACCAGACTAACCTTACAAGAGATACTAAAGGGAGTCTTTTGAACAGAGAACAAATAATAGCAAACAACAACCAACCATTAATATACATGATGACATAACCCAGAAACCAACCCAGTTATGGAAAATAAAATAAGTAAAATAAGCTTACAAGATTGTAAGACATCAATTGGTAAATGAGGACAACTAAAAAACAAAAAGAGGGAAAAAATAGTGTAGTTACAGAACTTTTAAATGGTGAGGAAGTCAAGAGACTGCAAGATAGAAAGGACTATTCTAAATTCAGGGAGCAAAATTATAAATACGTAGGTAACCTCAAAGGAAAATGATAAACCTTCACATCACAATAAAAAAGAAGACAAGCACAAAGGTTTAGCAAATACTAAAACAACAGCAAGGAAAGAAATGATAACATGATTCATAAACAAAATGAGCTCAGTGCAAAAAAGTATATGGAACAAAGAAACCAGGAAAACCACAAAAAACATATAACACAATGACAGCAACCAATTCATACTTGTCGATAATTACACTGAATGTTAATGAATTACATGCACCACTCAAGAGATGGAGAGTTGCAGAATGGATAAGAAAACATAACTCATCAATATGCTGTCTACAAGAGACACACCTTAGAGACAAACAAAAATTGATGAAAAATCAAAGGTTGGAAAAAGATATATCAAGCAAATGGCAACCAAAAAAGAGCAGGAGTGGCAATATTAATTTCTGATAAAATTGACTTTAAGACAAAAACCACCATAAGAGACAACGAAGGACATTATACAATGATTAAAGGATCAATCGAACAAGACTATATAACCATAATAAATATCTAAGGACCCAAAGGAAAAGCCCCAAAATACATAAATCAGACTTTAGCAGAATTGAAAAGACAAATAGATGACTCCACAGTCATAGTAAGAGACTTTAATACACCACTTTAAATCAAAGATAGAAGAACTGAAAAGAAATTCAACAAAGATGCAGAAGAACTAAACAATACAATCCACCAACTTGACCTTATGGACATGTACAGAGCACTTCACCCAACAACAGCACAACATACATTCCTTTTCAGTGTGCATGGAACATTCTCCATGATAAACCATATGTTAGGCCATAAAGCAAGCCTTAATGAATTTAAAAACATTGAAATACTGCAAAACATCTTCTCAGATCACAATGTGAACCAGGAAAAGGACATGCTTATCTGGAAATCTCCTAACTTCACCATCAATGCTCAGACAACAGAAAAAGAGCAAACACATGAAAATTGAACAACATTCTCCTTAAGAATGATGGGGTAATAAAAGAAATGAAAAAAAATTTAAAAAAAATTCCTTGAATCAAATGAAAATGAAAACACAACATAGCAAAATCTTTGGGACACAGCAAAAGCAGTGATCAGAGGCCAATTTATAGTGATTAATACACACATCAAAAAAGAAGAAAGAGCCAAAATCAACACTTTAAACCAACATCTCCAATAGTTAGAAAAAGAATAGCAGGAAAAGTTACCAGAAGAAAGGAAATAATAAAGCTTTAACTAGAAATAAATAAAAGAAAATTGAAAGATAAAAAAAAAATCAACAAGACTAGATGTTGGTTTTTTGAAATGATTAATAAAATTGACAAATCACTGGTAAATTTAAAGAAGGAAAAGAGGAAGAGAATACAAATAACATGAATAAGCAACAAATGGGCCACATCACAACAGAACCAACTGAAATAAAATATATATATATATATATATATCAGGATACTACGAAGAACTCTACTCCAATAAATTTGAAAATCTAGAAGAAATGGACATATTTCTAGAAACACACCGCTTACCTAAACTAACTGACACAGACTGAAGTGGGAAAGTTGAACAGACCCATAACAAAAGAAGAAATTGAACAGGTCACCAAAATAAAATCACCAATATAAACAAGTCCTGGCCCAGATGGTCAAATCAGTGAATTCTATCAAATATTCAGAGAACTGACACCAATCCTACTCAAACTATTCCAGAACATAGAAAAGGATGGAATCCTCCCAAATTCATTTTATGAAGCAAGCATAACGATACCAAAACCAGGCAAAGACATCACTCAAAAGGAAAACTACAGACCAATATCCCTCATGAATATAGATGCAACAATCTTCAACAAAATCCTAGCCAAAAGACTCCAACAACATATCAAGAAAATCATTCATTATGACTAAGTGGGGTTCATATCAGGTATGCAAGGATGGTTCACCATTAGAAAAACAATCAACAACATCCACCACATAAATAAAAGAGGAAAAGAACTACATGATCATATCAATCAATGCAGAAAAGGCATTTGATAAAGTCCAACACCCATTCCTGATCAAAACTCTCAGCAAACTAGGAATAGAAGGGACATTCCTCAACATAATAAAAGACGTCTGCAAAACCAACAGCCAACATTATTCTCAGTGGAGACTGAAACCATTCCCCTTGCAAACAGGAACCAGACAAAGATACCCTCTATCATCACTTCTATTCAACATTTTATTGGAAGTCCTAGCCAGGGCAATAAGGCAAGAAAGGGAAATCAAAAGTATCCAAATTTGTAAGGAAGAAGTCAAACTATAGAGATTGCTGAAAAAGAAATAAGGAAATCAATACCATTTACATTGTTGTTATTGTTAGGTGCCGTCAAGTTGCCTCCAACTCAATAGCAGCCCTGTGCACAGCAGAACAAAACACTGCCCGGTCCCACACCAGCTCCACAATCCTTGCTATACTTGAGCCCATCACCACTGCCACTGTGTCAATCCCTCTCATTGAGGGTATTCCCCTCTTTCATCGAACTTCCACCTTACCAAGCATGACATCCTTCTCCAGTAAATGGTCCCTTCCGACAACATGACCAAATATGTAAGACAAAGGCTGGCCATTCTCGCTTCCAAGGAGCACTCCAGCTGCACTGCCTCCAGGACAGATTTGTTAGTTCTTTTAGCAATCCCTGGTGCTTTCAGCATTCTTCACCAACACCACAACTCAAAAGCATC